CTCATACTCCAACAACCGCCACGCAGCCTCACAAGATGAAACATATCGATAATCATAGTACATCTTCACCTCGTCAACTGGCCTGCTAGAGGACTCATCTCCATTGGACGCATGGAAGGTGGCAGTAACACGATTGTTCCCCTTGTTAAACGTACTTGAACAAATATTTGATCGACCTCGACTAGTTGCACCACTCCATATTTATGTGCGCGCTATACTTCATGAGCAATTTTCTGTTATGAGGCACAACGTATCTGTTATCCAGGGGAATGCCATTCTTTTTCTGTGGTCCTGCCATTATCACAACGTCTGTATCGTGGATAGCCTTCTTCGTCAACAGTCACGGTTTCGGAGAACTTTTTAGGAAAATGTTTTGTGCAACAATCGTTCGCCATACACGGAGATTTCGGGTGAACACTTTCGCAGGGGCCGTGCATCATATGATCTCTAACACCGACATAGTAAAATGGATCTGTGGCCACATCCGGTATTTTGGCAGAAATTATTTTATCTATGCCATCAGTAGTCTGTATCTTGTATTCCTTGGCAAGGAAAAGCAAGATATGCGCATGTGAAAGGCCACGTTTCTTGAATTCAATCATGTAGATTGCTGTAGTAAAATCATACTTAGGTAAAAAATAAAACAATGCAAAACATATAATAAAAAAAAAAAATAATAAATCAATTAAAAAATAGTTTGAAAAAGTTACCTGCATTCACATCTCCAAACATCTCGTTATGTCGAACATCCCTTATATATGCATCCAACTTGGTCTTAAAAACCCGACAAATTATATCAGGATGATCCTCTGGGTTGAGGTTCTTCTCAGCAAAAAAACGACTGATTTCAAGCCACTTCTGATTGCAAGTGATGGTTATGAAAATGTCAGATAACCGGTCCAACTACAAATGGCCATCGCATCCTGATAGTTCTGAATCATACTCTGGCCACCCGTAAAGGATGGCGGAATTATAATCCATTTGCCTTGAGAACTAGGATCCGTGTCACCGCATAACACAGCGTCAGATAGCCTGTTGTACAATTCGGTTCTCAAGTTCTTCTGATTAAAATGGATGTATTTTAGCCGAGCTACCTCTACCATTGTATAAGCGTCCACCACAAACTATTGATACAACCTCCGATCGGATATAATTGACGACAATTTGTCGTCCCAATCGTGTATTCGATGTTTGAAGAACTCCAACGGGCTGATAAATTTCCTCGACCTCTCCGTGATCGGTTTTAGGCAGGAGAATGGAATGTCCTCCCTATAACCATCCTCGCCATATGGATAAAGAATAGGATAATGGAGAGCCAAGTAGGAAGCGTTCAACTTGTTGATCCGCTGCAGACGTCTGCTCCGATTTTCTACTATAATATCCCTGCTGCCCATAACATCATCGAAATCCCCAACAACTAAGGTGGCAACTTCAGAAGTGGAGGGTAAATTATAACGCCGACCATCCTTGTTCCTTCTAGCGATAAGACGCATCTTAACTTCAATTTGCTGGTTCACCATCTCCCGCGCCATCCTGAACGACTTGACCAAAACATTGTAATGATCGAGTAGCTCCTTTAAACCACGAACTACATCCTCATCTAGGTTATTTCTTTCAGAACCTATCCTGACATAAAGAAAAAAATTATATTGAATTAGTAAAGATAATGTAAAACGCAATGAAGAAAAACTAAGTACTCAATTTTGAATGCTAAAAATATAATATATATACCTCACAGAAGACAATCAGTTTGATACTTCGTTCTCTGTGTTATAGATGTACAATTGAGCAAATTTCGGAGGGGCCCCATGGTCGGCTAGCAAACTACCCATTAAATGGTATTTCTGACCGTGCAAACGGAAGACGGGTGGGCCGGTTCCCTTGTTTATGTCGGTATCAATTTTCCCCCCCATGGATGTAAAGCAGAACATGTTGTTGTAGGACTGGATATTTTCTTGAAAGTGCTTGCTCTGAGGACCCGTCCCATAAATAAGATCACGCAGAAAGGGGGGCAGAGTGTAAACGGGTGGAAGTTCGATGAATCCGTGGTTGCAGCACCCAGAATACTTAGGGACCTTAGTTTTAGATTGCTTGCCTAGTCGCTCGGAATACCAAAATTTGGCACCACAGTGAAGGCAACGGAACGATGCATCGCCAATATCCCTATATTCTACGGAATTGTAATATTTAAATATATTAACAATTTATTAATCATTTTATATACCATGGTCCAAACAAAGATAAAAGGATTTGAAAGATAAAATATGAAAAAAAAAATTAAATACATAACTAAAATAATTACCAGTTCTGATGGATGAGTGCGAGGAACTGGCTAATGACGATGAACCTCTGGTATTAATGGGCATTTGAGGAAATACGTTCCTCGGACGGCGGCCTACATTCTTCCGAGCTGGCAAGTTTAATGATGAAACAATATAAAACATTGTATTATTATTTAAAAAATACCATATACATATTTTCAAGTGATTTTTTTTTTGTTCTTGTTAAAAATAATTAAATTAGACAAATTGATAATAAAATTATAATTACCATTTGTGGGGGGAGGTAATGTGCGCCTCTGACGTCCGCGTACGTTATTCTGAGGTGGTAAGTTTAATGATGAATCTGCACACAAATGTATTATTATTAAAAAAGAAAAAATATGTTATCACTTAAATATACGTGTTCCAATAAAAATTATTTTCTTTTATTGATAATATATAAGTTCAATAAATTGAAAATTAATTTAGAATTACCATTGCCGATTTTCCCAGAAGGTTGTTGTCCGGAGTTTGTATCGTTCGTTGGCTTATTCAGAGTAAAGTCCCCGAAACTCTATTTCAACCCGAAGGGCGGTATTTCAATTAAAATATTTTTGATTCTTCAAGAAACCGCTAGGGGTTTAGCAAAAGCAGCTCTCCGGGGTCGAATCAATTGGCTGAAAGGCTCGTACTTTCATCCGATGTGAGAACTGCTCAACGCTTCTTGGCGCCTGAAAGCGTGCATGGTTACCCAATGTTGTAGGGGTAGCATTTTGTTCGACGTCCGTTGTAAGATCAACGAAAGGTACTAAACCGCTTCAAGATGTATTCGTGAGTTAAGTTATGGAACTATTCTGAGACGAACGTTGAGAATTTGCGAATTGAAAACCTAACATGAAAAATTAATTAATGGTCAATATACTAAACAAACAACAATAACAATAACAATATTTATTACAATGGCATACATATTTATAAATGATATAAATAATCCTACAAACAAAAAAATATATACCAGGTTCTTGAAAGATAGACCGCGGATTATTAGGGATTGCCGGTCTTTGGTACGAAGGAATTAATATAGACATATCCGATGACGTACCTGCAATAATTAAATTGATATAGTTTAATATCCACAACAAATTATTTTTAAAAACCTCATATGAAACATCTAGCTATATGAAAATGTTATAATCTGTTTTCATACATTTGTGACAAAATTAAAGAGAGCAAACATAAAAACATTAAAGTTTGTAATAATAAATTCAGTATTATATGTATTAATCTTATATATTTTATTATAAAAAATTTGTGTACTTTAATCATGAATCAAACAGTTATGGGCTAGTTATTTACAAAGTATTGGGCTGGTGACAAAAATAAAAAAAAAATTGGGCCACCTTCAATATTGGACCATTTTGTATAAACAAAGAATCTTTTCTTTAAAAAGAAAAAAGAGCCCAAATATTAGGCCCGGTCATATTAACGCTGAGTGAAAGGTGGATGAACCGAGAAGGTTCTGTGGACACGTAGAAAAAGGACAAAATCATGCAGCATATTCACTTGACACGTGTCCCAAAAACGTGTGATGTACTTTCAAGCCCTAGAGTAATCTGATAACATTCATTTCTCCGTCTCTCGTGCAAGGTCTCTCCCATTTCTTTTATTTTCTCTGTCGGCGATTCTCTCTACTCTATGCCTTATCCTTCTTCTCAAATCTTTGTTTGGGTAGGCGAGAAACACGCCAATTAATTGTATTTTCAGTGGCGATTTTGTTCAGTTTTTCAAAAAACGCACCTAAAATTGTTATTTTCGGCGAAATGAGAGATGGAAAAGCGAGATCATCTCGATTTTACTAAATCGAAATACTAAATCATAGTATTTTGGTTCAAATCGGGTGATAACATGTTAGATTCTTAAGATCTACTTAGTTTTTTTTAAGGCTTTTTTGTTTTAGAATCGGCAAAAACATCTCTGATCTACGAAGATCTGAAGTTATATATATATATAGGGATTGGTTCCAATGCATCCACTTATTTAAAGCGAGGACGTGAGACTCATTTTTAGCCACAAGATTTGGTACATCATGTGTGGCCAAGATTTACTCTTTTCTTTTTATTATTTTAATTATTTAAATATTATTTTGACCCATTGAATCTGGCGTTGACCGTTGACTTCCGGCATTGACCGTTGACATCCGACGTTGACCGTTGATTTTCGGCGTTGACTTCGGCGTTGACCGATGACAACTAACTTCCAACTAGGTTAGTTCTCTGTAGTTGTTAGGTTAGTTCTATGTAGTTGCTAGGCTAGTTCTCTGTAGTTGCTAGTTCTCTGTAGTTGCTAGGTTAGTAGTTGCTAGGTTAGTTCTCTCTAGTTGCTAGGTTAGTTCTCTGTAGTTGCTAGGTTAGGAGTTTCTAGGTTAGTTCTATGTAGTTGCTAGGTTAGTTCTCTGTAGTTGCTAGGTTACTAGTTGCTAGGTTAGTTCTCTGTAGTTGCTAAGTTTGTCCTCTGTAGTTGCTAAGTTAGTAGTTGCTAGGTTAGTTCTTTGTAGTTGCTAGGTTAGTTCTCTGTAGTTGCTAGGTTAGTTGTCTGTAGTTTCTAAGAGCTGTCCGCATTTTAAGAGCTGGGAGCATTTGATCCGCCCTATATATTTATATATATATATATATATATATATATATATATATATATATTAACCTAATTTCTGAGCTTGTGGTGAAGAAAAGGTCGCGACAGATGGCACCTGCCCGAATCGTGGTTTTAGGAGACCGAGTAAGGTGTTTTTCCTATATCCCGTTGGAACTCTAGATCTAAGGATTTATTTTTACATATGTACGTTTAAAATTTTTGTACCTATTATCCGATGTTACCGTAGTACATATATATATGCTATTGATCTTCAACAGGTTCGTTAGAAGATTACGCATTGGAAATATTATAGACAGATAAGTAATATATTCTATGTTATCTTTCAAATACTTATCTTGTATGAAATGAAACATAATATTAACAAATTTGTTTTTATATGTAGGTTTAAAAGTTTCTAAATTGAATGTGGATGCAGCAATCTGTTTCTGGGGTACTAAAAAATGAAAAGGACGAACATATGGAAGGCTCAAACAGAAGATAATGAAAGATTATGCTAAAAAAGTAAGTCCTTTTATTTTTTTGAAAGAAAACATACGGGTACACATTAATCGGTGGTGTACCATTATCTGTTGAATCTTTTTTTGTCTTTTTGTTGCCCAATATGTTGTAGCCGCTGGATAACCTTTTCATGTTGTTTGGATTTGTGTTGAATCAACGTTCTTTGAGTGCTTGCTCTATAATAAAGCTTGTGTGCTGAATCCACCTTCTTTCTGTGCTTTTATACTCTTCTTGTTTTGGTCTTTATGTGCTCGGCTGATGAACCACAGAAGTTGTACAAGTTTTTTTTTAGATGATGTGTTTTTGGGATAAGTAGACTAAATAAAATTTTAGGGGTTTATATAACAAACTACAACATCTATATTTGGTAAATATATTAAGTGTATTTGCTAGCTTTTTTTAGGATTTTTGACTTGATTTCTTGTATTTGGAAGGTATTAAAAAACTGATCTATTCTGTAATATCTATGTCTGCTGAAATTATGGTTTCATTAAATCGAGTAAATTCATTCTGAAAAAAGTAATTTTTACATGAATTGATTGGTACTATTATGATTATTGACTTTGACTTGATATCTTGAATTTGGTGAGTTGTAAAAACTTATATGTAGTTAAATAGAAAAAAAATATAGTTCTATTAAGTTTCTTTGATGATTGATGGAAATTTGCATGGTGGATTAGGTAATTAATGATTTATAATTTTTGTGGTTTTTAAAGCTGATAAGTTGTCATGTGGGCTATATTTTTAAAGTAAAAGATAGAAGTAATAAAAAGAGAAAATAATTAAACACATTTTAATAAAAACATTTTTATTCATAGAACAAATATTATTTTCCAAGTAGATTACTGATAATATTATTAAAACAACATAAATCTGACAGCATAAAATGAAAACATTGAAATTAATATCCTAGAAACAACTTCCAAGTGAATATAATCTTGATCTAGCCCCTCAGATTTTCTCAACTTTGATTTTCTTGTCCTTTCGCTCCACCCCTGAACAGCTCGAGCCATCTTCAAATAATTTCTTTTGAACCCTCTTTCATGTTATTTCGCAGCCTGGTACAGTGTCCTCATCATTTGATTCCTACATATTAAAAAATATATAATTTTTTATGAAAATAATATATTTTACTGCTTGAAAAAAAAATAATATTTACTTGACCAGCTTTATAATATTCTTTCATCAATGTGGATGGTTGGTCAGAATCCTATTGAGAAAGAGAATCATAACAATATATTAATTATTATATAATATAAAAATAATAGTTATCTTATACTTTGTAGGATCTTTTTTAAAATAAAATCAGGCCAACTTGGGAGATGTTGGCCAAAGAACCAAATCAGCTGACCAAAATATGATCGGCTGTTATTTGAGAAACAGTAAAGGACCAATGTATGATCCAAATTGATCATTTTTCTTTGAAACCTTGAACAATAGCACTTTGTGTGTCAAAAGTTCAAGGTCAAGTGGTAGATCTGATGCATCATTGTCCTGCATGATAAATTTTGAATTAAATTATAATTTTGATAATATAAGAATAAAACATTTGGGCAATAGTCAATATAAAATGCACATGCCTCCATCATTTCACTAACAACAGCATCACATGGTTTTCCAACTAACTCTCGAGCAACTTTGTCGCAGCACAAAAGGCGAACCATTCCGGTGTTGTCCCCAACCGAAATATGCAGCTTGTACCTAGAGCTGTTAAATTAAACGAGCTTGACTCGGCTCGTTTAGCTCGAGTTCGGCTCGGCTCATTTGGTAAACGAGCCGAGCTCGAGCTCTATAATAGGCTCGTTTCATTAACGAGCCGAGCCGGCTCGGCTCGCTATCTACCCGTTAAAGCTCAGTCTTTTATGTAATTTCCTCACTTTCACTTTTTTCCTTCATTTACCCTTGTTTCTTAAGCTCATTTTCATTTCATATTTTCACTACACTAGAATCAGATTCCGCCGTCATCCTCGTTCCTCTATTCTTCAACCTCAAATCTCAATTCCTCATCCCTTCTTCATCCTCAATTTCTCATCCCATAGTCATCCTTAATTCCCCATCCCGTCGTCATCCTCAATTTCGTCTCTCGGAGGCTCGGAGCTCAAGTGTATGATATTGGGTTTTTTGGTTGAGCTTCAAATAATTTCTAAGCTCTCTTAATAGTTTTGAGGTTTCATTGTATCTAAATAGCAAATACTTTAAAACTTTGTCAGGTTTAAATTTTTTTTGGAGGATTCTGTATAAAGTTTCAAGCTTTGGCTCCTCAAGGTCTATAATATTCTTTTAGAGAAATTAGTGCAAAATTTGTTTTGGTTCTTATCTTAGAGCAATTAGTAAAAAAATCAGGTTAAGTAATTAGTGAATTTGGATGGAAATTTGAGATTTTGAGTTGCTGTCAAACTACAAATTCCTCACAGTCACAAGCACTTGTTTAATTTCATGTTCATTTCTAATTTCTATCCGTTATAGAATATGGTTGAATATTGATATTTATTTTGTAATGTGGTATGAATCATTGAAAACAAAGTTCTTGATTTATAACTATATTCATGTTTTACCATATCAACATTAAATAGGTATGTCCAGCTCAGTTCAAATCAAGGTTCATGTCCAAGCATTGGTATGGAGCAAATGAATGAAGTTGATATGGAAGAAAATCCAGATGTGATGAGTGAGGAAGAGCTTGCAATTATAGATGAAGACAAAGAGCAGACCTACCCGGAAGGTGAAGGTGGAGATAAACCGTTTGAGAAAAAGAAACGAGGAAAGACGTCAACGGTGTGGGATAATATGGAAGTCGTAACGCTGGAGAATGGAACAAAAAAGGTGAAATGCTTGCACTGTAAGTCATTGTTTGCAAAGAGTGGAATTGGAACTACAACTCAGTACAAGCGTCATCTAGCATCATGTCTACAAAGGCAATTGAACTCCGAATTTCAAAACAAGATGACGCAACACGTTTTGTCGTTTTCAGAAGGTCAAACTGACGGTCTCACTTCTATTACCAATTTCTCATACGATCATGCAAAGGTGCGAGAGCTTGCATCTCATATGGTATTAGTGCACGAGTATCCATTTTCTATGATGGATCATTATGTTTTCAACAAGTTCATGAAAGTCGCAACTCCATTTTATAGAAAGATTACCCGTCAGCAGGTAAAAGAAGATTGTTATACAACTCATCAGATAGAAAAAAGAAAGCTGAAACTTCTCTTAAAGGGTGCTAGTCGGGTTTCTATAACTACCGATTTGTGGAAATCTGGTCAGAAAATTCAATACATGGTCGTGACAGGGCATTTTGTTGATTCTGATTGGGTGTTGCAAAAACGTGCTTTGAACTTTTGTAATGTACCTCCTCCACATACAGGAATCATTATAACTGATGCATTAAGTAAGTGTTTCATTGATTGGGCGATTCAGAACAAAATTTGTAGCATCACCGTCGACAATGCTTCCTATAATGATTTGTGTATCAAGAGACTTAAAGAGGATTTTGCTTTAAGAAAGAAATTAAGGATGGAAAATATTTCATGTGAGGTGTTGCGCTCATATACTTAATCTGTTAGTAAAAGATGGTTTGAAGAACATTGGAAATGTGGTTGATGTTGTTAGACATGGGATTAAGTACTTGAATACTTCAGAGTCTCGCCTCATTCAATTTGCAAAAATAGCAAAACAATTGCAGTGTCCTTCTAGAAATTTGATTTTGGATTGCCCAACTAGATGGAATAGTACATATCTCATGTTGGTCTCGGCTTTAGAGTTTAAGAATGTTTTTCTGAGGTATAAGGATATTGATGTTGGGTTTAGTTATGTTCCAGATGTATACAAGTGTGCCGAAGTGGAAGAAGTGTGCAAATTTCTTGGTATCTTTTATGAAATCACTAACATGATTTCGGGATCCGACTATCCAACCTCTAATCTTTTTCTTGAGAAGCTTTATAGGGTTAAAGAGCTATTAAAAGAAAAGGCTTTAGATGAATCTGAGAACATCAGGGCTATGGCCTCGGATATGGCATTGAAATTCGATAAATATTGGGGAGAGTATAACGTGTTGTTGTCATTTGGTGCTATTCTAGATCCGAGGTATAAAATGGTACTTATTAATCATGCTTTTCCGATAATTTATGGTGAAGTAAACTCTATGGAAAAAGCCGCTGAAATTAGTGAGCTTATTTATGAGCTTTACAATGAATATATTGATGCTCATATATTGTCTTGTGCCGAAGAACCAACAAAGAAGCACGTAAAGTGAAAAAAAATGAGATTGGCACTTCTCTTGTTCAAGTTCACGGAGGTAAAAAACCTGGAGTTAATGTTCTCACTGGTAGGGAAAAGTTTATGTTGCTTGCGAGTGAAATTGATAGAGCCCCCCCAGAAAAATCAGATTTGGATTTGTACCTAGAAGAAGGTAGATACATTTGTGATGCGTCTGCTAATCTTGATGTTTTAGCATGGAGGAAGGGGGAGCGTCTGAGATTTTCAATATTATCAAAAATGGCATGTGATATTCTTTCTGTACCAATTACAACTATGGCCTCCGAGTCTACCTTTAGTGCTGGTGGTCGAGTAATTGATGATCGACGAGCTTCTTTAACGATCGAGACTGTGGAAGTATTACTTTGTGGTAATGACTGGATCCAGAATCATTATGGGTTGAAAACCAGGCCTCGTGGAAGTGTAATAAACATTCTTAAATTGTTTTTCAAATAGAATTTTTACCTTTTTTATATCTTCTTTTGTGTTAGTATAATGACTTGTTTATTTTTATTTTTGTAGGATGAAATGGATGTTTCTGAATCATCAACATATCATGAAGTTGAACTTCCTCAGGCTTGATCGAGTGGGTGGCAGACCTACTAGTTTTTTGGCTAGAAACCTTTTTGCAAGATGTTTTTATTCACTGAAACTTTTAAAAACAATGGATGTTAATTGCAGTGAATGTTTTTGGGCATTGAAACCTTTTTAATGTGTGGTACTCAATTTGGACAATATGTACTCAAATTTGGTTGTCTTTTTATTCAGTGAATGTTTTGTAATATTTATGTTTGGAGGATGGAACTTAATTTTATGTTTTGTAGTATTTATGTTTGGATGATGAGACTTAAAATTATATTTTGGACTTTTAGCTATTTTGGAATTGTGATGGAGTTACTATTTTTGCCTATTTGTAATTTTCTTATTCAAGGTACATTAGAAATTTTTACAAGAAAGAACAAAAAATATAATTTACAGGATTTTCGAGCTCGAGCCGAGCTTTAACGAGTATATTCTCATCAAATGAGCCGAGCTCGAGCTCGAGCTTAAATGTACAGGTAACGAGCCGAACCGAGCTTCACATGCAGCTCGTTAATCTTATCGAGCGAGCTTGAGCATAACTCAAAAAAAGATCGAGCCGAGTGCGAGTATCAAGTACTCGGGCTCAGCTCGGCTCGTCTACAGCTCTAGTTGTACCTAAGAATTGCAAAGGGAATAGAGTGTTTGCAATAGTTGCACCAAAATCTCTCTTCTTTGCGCTCGACTTTTCGAATGCAATTTGGGCAAGAATTGAAAAACCAATCTCTCCAAATATCAATAATGTGGCCACAAATCCAATTTTTTTGTTCCTGAATAGAGAAATTAAAACCAAATCAATATGTGACAACACTTATTTAAAAGATTATTACAAAAAATTAATAAATCTCTGATAATATTATGAGTGAGTAATAATTCAAAAAATTTAGTAAGTCAATTGATACCTCTTTAGACGCACTTATGATAGAAGCAATTCCAGATTGCAAGTCGTCACATACGTTAGACATGAAAGACCTAACATAAGGGAATGAAGATTCCCTTGGCCTTGTGTGGCAATTGTACCTAGTGAAAGCAAAATCTAATTTAATCGGAAGTATATAATTAGTTTTTTATTTAATCAAATATAGTATCACATAATAACAAATAGGTATGGAAGACTTAGGATATATACCTTTGTTTGAAATCAACAATCTCAGGAACATCATTCAAGACTATCAATTTTGTAGCATCATAAATGTTGGAAACCAAATCAGATCCTACAAAAATAAATATTTTGGGACCATATTAAAAATTGTAAGATAAATATAAAATAACAATAGGAGCAAATGATAATATAAATTAAGTCAAATAGTATATACCATAATCAAATGACTTTGCATGGCAAAGTTGTATTATGAGTACACGCAATTCAGTTGGAGATGACTTTTTGTAGGCAGCTATAAGCATATCGGCATATCCTTCCCATAGGGTGCAAGTTTGGTGGCAGCCCCTATAAATTGTACAATAAAATAAACAATTAATTTCTAAAAGATATGTATGCTCAAATTAAAATAAAACCAAAGTTGTATGTATATATAACTTACTCAACATCTTCAAGAACAATGTCAACACATCTCTTTTGACCTCCATTTGAATTTCTTGTATGTATGTTTTGAAACAAAACAATACGGCCAATCATGTCTACAAATTAAAAAAAAAATAATAAATACTATAAGATTACTGGAATTTGTATTATTTAAAAAATAAAAAAATACCAAAAGGTGTGCAAAGATCAATTTTTTTGGGGTCGGTTAGCTCGCTGAATTGCTTGAACTCAAACATCAACCTTGGATACTCGTCATCAACTATCTCGCGCATGTTAGTTTGTTTGTAGAAAATGAACTTGTGACTTGATTTGGTTATCTTGAATGCACTTTTGTCCTCCACAAGTTCGAAATTTGTGATCTCGTACACATTGCCTTCGAGAAGTTTAAATTCTTTGAACTTTTGGGATAAGCATCCAGGTGCCCAGCCGTGTATACGCTGGCCCTAAAAAAAACAAATTAATGAAGATTGTCAAAAGCTAGCAGTAGAAATGTTGTTTGTAAAATAAAGTGAATAATAGAGAAGTAAAAAAATTATATACCTTCACATCATGAAAAATAAAATCATGTCCGCTGATTTTTGCTGTATTCGACTGATAATATCAGGGGTAGGTTCTGACTAATCTAAGCTTGGCTGTCTTATTCTTGTTTTTGGCCAAGAAGGTCAAATTGTTGAAAAAGGATGTCATTGCTGATTAGAAAAAAACATAGGAGGAAGGTGTTTTTGTTTGTTGGTTAATTGCAATGAGGTTATGTGGATGAATGTTGGACATATATATATGGTCTTAGTATGGTCAAAATTACATTGGCACATTTAATATATAATAATTATAAATCATAATTTGTGCAAAAATCAAGGGATAACAACATTCCTCTATTTCCTCTATTTTTTGTAATATAGCATATTATCTGATTGACTTTTATTTATGTTTGCCCACATCCCCCTCTTTTTCATTCCTTTTGGAATTTGTAACTGATATTTGATGGTTAATAATGTCCAAATCATGTGCTAAAATCGCGGAATAATAACATTTCTCGATTTTTCTTATGTATCAAACATTATCTGGTTTTGAATTTTATTTGAATTTGAATTTTATTTAGTTTACCCGCCGCTTCTTTTTCGTTGCTTTGTAACTGATAATTAATAATAAAATATGAATAAATCATGTGCTAAAATCATGGAATAATAACATTATCTATTTTTTTAATAGATTATATTAATTTTAAATTCTTATTAAATCATGGGATAATGAAATTGTTTACTGATTTTTATTTTTTTGCAGGTCTAATCCAAAGCTTAAGGGTGGTCAATTAATTTATTATTTGTAATTATTTTTTATTATTTTTTGAAAGGAACATGGGGGTATAGCTCACCATTATGCACATAAAACAATATAATAACAAATAGTAGGATCGCAGCATGTACATGAATTAATCAACAAATATCATATCTCCTAATGCTCTAGTGTACACCCCATATAGCCGTTGTAAGTCAAAATCGCATCCTACAACGGAGCACATGTCAATGGTCAAACCCGCATCCAAAGACATGGCCTATCATTAGGCTAAGAGAGATTGCCTCTCATTGGGCACCGTTGACAGTGGAAACCGCATCCGCCGACGGGGATACCTAATCGAAGGTCGAATCTGCATCCTATGATAGGGTCGTGGTTCACATACATACATTGATCATAAAATCTAGCAATTATACAGATTTATGGCATAGTATTTTAAAATCACCCACCTGGAAATCGGGTAGGAGACAACACACAAATAGCTGGTTGCAGGTTGAGGTCTCGACTCCTCAAACACCTACATTTAATCAAGATAATCTTTTTAAATATATAATCTTGACACTAGAAAATCATTAGAGACTCACACTTAATAAAAAATAATGAAGGGATTTTATCGAATTTTTCGTGGAGTTGGAACTCTCAAATTTTAAAAAGGATAAGACCCGGGTAGATGAAAATGAGGTCTCGGGACTTAAAAGAAATTCTAAAATTTTTACCGTTTCTATAAAATTTTTTAAAAAATGGGTTCGGCATGAAAAACGGGTTGTTGGTGCATGATATGTCATATTATTTACCTAAAGGAGTAAATAGGTTTACTAGGCCGGTCAAACGGATCCAACATCGAGAGGGTCAAACTGGTCGAACAACATCGAGCAGAGCGATGGAAGTCGAACACTATGAGAACAGGATATGGAGGATTCCAATACGAGAGGCATAAGTCGGTAACAGGTCCATGAAGGATCTGGTCGAACATCTACCTGTCGAGCAAAAGAGCATTTGATCGACCACTTCACAGAATGAGAGCAGTCTGGGGATCGACCTAGACATGGTTAAGCGTAAGAGCCTTTAAGGGAATTTCAAATGAATATTCAGAGGAATATTTACCCCATGTGCAGAGGATACGTGACGCAGATGTATTGGTCTATAGTGGTAACCGTTTTTGACACACGCACACTGTGGGCACGGACAGACAGGCATGGGCAGCTTTGGGTAGACAGCTTATCAAAACCGGGTAGCTCCTAGGTCAGGTATCTCACCCCTATATATAGGGGTTAGCTATTCTTGTTGAGCACGATTTTATCCATTTTTACTCTTGATAATTGAGTAGAACAAACACTGACTTAAGCATCGGAGGCTCTTCACTGGAAAATCCCTCCGGTGTGAGAGTTCTCTTTAGGTACGCGGGGTTCTACCGACTAGAAGAAAGAAGGTGAACCAATTTCCAGTCGGTCAGAGTGTTTGACGTTACCAGTTCACAAATTAGCAGTTGGGCCGCGCTGGGCCAAAGCTGTCGCGAAATGGGCAAAAAACTCCAACAGAGTTGGGCTTGGCGCGCATCCTGGACTGAAGGACACACGGGCCACACGCGGGCTTGCACGGGCTAGAGGGCGATGACTGGAACCGGGTCTAGCGCGGGCTGGAACGGGCCAGACGGCCCGCGCGCCTCTCTCTCCTACTGGGCCGATGGTGAATGCGGCTACTGGGCGGGTGCACAGTTTGGGCCGCTGGAAATTGGGCCAGGCAACAAATAAAAAGAAAAAAAAAGGCTAAGGCCTTTTGAACATGGGCTGTGGACTTCAAGACTAGACATGGCCAAAACCGGGGGCCGGGTCACGACCGGGCCGGGCCGACGGGCTTCAAAATAATGACCCTGAATCAGCACAGATCTATACTCGTGCCGGGTTCGTGTTCGGGCCGGTTCGTGTTCGATCCGGGCCAGGTTCAAGCCGGGTCCGTTACTTTTTTAAAAATCAATAGAAAAAAATTAAAAAAATAGAAAAGAAGGGTCATTGACCCGGCCCGGCCCGAATCCGCCGGGCTGGGTCTTGAAATGTATGACCCTTACACGGCCCGTATAAAATTCGGGTCGGTCCCGGACCCGTGGTCAACGGGTTTGATCGGGCCGGGTCCGTGTCGAGTCCAGGCCGGGTCAGTGCCGGGTCGGCTGGCCGGGCGGCCCTTTGGCCATGTCAAGACCAGTTGGGCCGGTTGCTGGAGAAGACTGCGAACTGGGCAAAAAGAAAAGAAAGAAAACGAACAGGGGCATGGGAAAACCGAACAGGGGCTGGGAAATGGCGACCAAATTTGACGACGATCGATTTCTCGGCAACCAGGTTCGAAGTTCATCAACAATATACAAAAATTAAAATTTTTCAGAGCCGGAAAATTTTATAAAAATTAGTTTACTCTGGAAACGAGGCGGCCAAAGATAAGGCTCAAACGAAAAAATATATTCGAACGATAATATGACAACGACTCGTAAAATTATAACGAGACTCCGAATAAAATATACCATATCGATTATACAAACGAGAGTTCCAAATACGCACGAAGAATTTCACGAAATAACACAATGAACAAGACGAACCGAAAGTAAACCAATCAACAACGAAACTCGGTTCAGCGAACAGGATATATATATATATTGCAATGAGGAAATAATTATGAGAACAAAAAGCAGAGGGTTTATAGCCAATATACCGCACTTCACGGAATCTACAAGCTGGGATGAAGATCGAGCGAGACGAACGGACAAATGGACTCAGACCAACGGAAAGGAACTCCAAACTCCTCGAACTGACTCGAGACGGCTGACTACGAACGAGTTGGACATGGGGTTGCTCGAATGTCAACGGGGCTGCCGATGATGATGAACAATAATTATTTTTTTATTTATTATTTTTTATAAACTGACCGAGAGGGCTGCTGATGATTTCGAATGAATGTGTTGCAAAGAAGGAGACTCCTTCAGGCGAGATTTATGAAGGAGAGACGAACGTGAGGTGAGAAATATCCCTGAAGAATCGCAACAAAAGCATTTACAAAAGTGAAGAAAGAATCGGTCAAAAATCTCAACGCTGCACACGTGAGAATGCTAATTATGGGCCTAGATATTTACAAAGGAATTGGGCCAACTATAAGTAAAAGGGCTGGAATTAAAAACTGAAAAGGTCGGATTAAATAAATCAATTTGGCTAGAATTAATTCCAACAAGGGCCGAATATCCAATTCGAAGCTCGTTTGGAAAAAGACTCGAAAGAGTACTACACGGATACCCAGAATATTGAACAATTAATCGATTGACGACGAATAATTAGAGATAGGTCGAGCTATACATGAACATAACACCAAGCAATAAATAAATAGAATACGATAATTCATATAATTCTAATGGGGCATTACAATCTACCCTCCTTAAAAGAATTCTGTCCTCGGAATTACAAACGAGTAAACATCCCAGAAGGGACAACAAACACAAGAAAGAGGCCTAACCACGAAGCTCGGATACTCCATCCGAATCTAGTCCTCACTCTCTCAAGTCGTATCGCCCTCGCCCTGACGATCCTGCTGGACTTTGACAAGTACCCCTCCCGGCCTCTCCCTGATGAACTCTCGGTACTAACAGGTCACCGGTACCTCAATACTGATAGGATTCTTTCCAACATGCAGCTCATCAAAGTGCACCATGTATCCCGAGGTCACGCACATGTCCCCTCTACCACGAGGCATAGAACATGTCGTGCACTCTCGCAAGTTCCGGTGGTGGAGTCAACCATCAGACTAAGTCATCGACGTGGTCGAGAGTCTCCAAAAGGACTGATAAAGTGTGGCTGCAGCTTCCTCCCTTCTCAGAACCAAGGCGTATCACACCTCTGTCCACACCAAAAACCTCATACGGTACCATTGGGATCGTCACTTGATAACCATCATTATAAGCATACCTACCCCTGGGTTGTCAAAACCTCGTATCACACCCCTTGCACATGTTGTGGGTTGTCACGCGGCTGGGAAGTCGTGTGTGAAGCTGTTGCGCGCCCGTCTGCACCTTGGGTTGGTGGGACGCCTTGTTTTGCAGTGTCTTTGGCGCTATTGATTGTCCCGACACCATTTTTATGCTCCCGGCATGGTTCTGGTCATGAGGGCAGAGAAGCCTTTGACAAATTCTGGGTTTTAGAATAAGGCAGTGAAATCCATCAGGTTCAGCATAGCGTTGGTTCTGCCGGCAGTTGGGGCTGCTCCACGGCTGGCGCAGGCTCTGGAGGTTTGATCTTCGTGACCTGACTAAGACATGAATCGGTAGGAAGTGAGGTAGAGATGATGGTCGAAATGTGCTTAGAAGATTTGATGGATCGAGGATTAACTCCAAATATCTTATGGAGCCATTTCTCTAGCGCAAACTGTTGTTATATAAAATTTAACTTTGATAATCACTGGGATTAAGTAGATAGAAAGCTGTTAAATAGCTAGATATCTATAATTTGAAGTCGGGTTTTTAGTACAAGAGGTCGGTTTTAGGTAGAACCGAGCTGTCTAATATGCGTATTAAATGTGTCGGAAAAAAGATCCTCGTACAAGAATAAATGGTGCTATTTATAGTAATTCCAGGCTCGTCTTTTGAGACTGGTTCGACGGCATTAAATGTGATTTAATGGTCTTGGTGGCATATAACCTGCAGGTTGTCCCACAAGTAATGATGAAGGTATGGGCGGCTAATTGACAGGCGTCCCATCTGTCTCTTATTCGTCCATGATCTCGGTTCTTCATGGAAGTCAGTCCTTGCCTCATCAAAGAGGTCGGTTCCCCATTCGGTTTACGCCGAGCTCTACTTACGTGGCCAAACGTGCTGCTGATGTGGTGAAACCAGTAAAAAACCAGTATAAATACACGCAATGACCGATGGTTTACCATTTTCACGACTTTTAGACTTTGAATTGTTTTTATCTCTCTTTGAAAACATTGTGGTCCCATTGTTGTCGAAGCTCACAATCTTGTCGTTGAAACGCACAAATTGCGGTCCCATTGAAACGATTATGACCGACAGGTATGCCAATCCTTCAATTTTTTAATTTGTTGTCGAAATTTTGAAATTCAAAGTCGTCGTTCGAATTCGAAATTTGCTGGGAACATTTTGTTTGTTTGTGAATTTTTAATCCAATGTTAATTTTATATTAAGTAGTGATCCATTTGTTAATTTTATATTGGAAATTTTGACCTAGGGTTCGAAAGAATGAAAATCTATTTGTCAATTTAGGGTTTATCTTCAAATTAGGGTTTTATTTTTAAATTAGGGTTTACCAAGATTAGGGTTTCGAACAATTTCGAATTGGTTACAGTTTATTTATTGTACATTCATTTTGAAGTTAGGATTTCAAACAATTTCGAATTGCTTACAATTTTTTGTTATTGTAAATTCATATTTAAATTAGGGTTATGACAGAATTAGGGGTATGTTAGAATTGGGGCTAATTATAAAATTGTTATTGATGTTTTTTCTATGTTTAATTAATTGCAGAGATAAATTTGCATTGATTGTCAATATTGGAGGTTATTTTGTGAACTGTGGACCTATTGTGGAGTATATATGTGGTAGTTTAAAGAGTATTTATGGGTTAGATGCTGATAGATTTGGCTACTTTGACCTACAAGAAGAAATTAAGAAGTTGGGAGTTAACAAGTATGAAAAAATTGTGTATAGAATACCTGGTGCTGGTGTTGGAGCTGATAGTTTGAGAGATGTAACTGATGATAAAGGGGTTATGGAGATTATTAGTTGTGGTAAGAAGAAGAAAACTATAGTTCAGATATATGTGGTTGGTGGTGACATTAATGATGATGAAGCAGATGAGAATGCTGAGGCATCATTTCAGACAAAATCTTCTAGCCAGCAAGATACTGATGATAGAGAAGAGGTGAATGGTTTGAGTTAGGCTGACTCATCATTTCACACACAAGCTAGCCAGCAAGATATTGATGATAGAGAAGAGGTGAATGGTTTGAGACAGGCTGAGGCATCAATTGAGGAAGAGCCTGCAGACCAGTTGGAAGATATTAATGATATTATTGACAACTTCACTTCTGTTGAACATGGTGAAGGTGATGCAGAAACTAATAGTGCATGTGCTGGGTTGGGGTCACAAGAGTCATCTGATGATGAAGATTATTTTCCAACTGGGGTGAGTTCATCAGATGATGACCTGTCTGATGATCATCTTTCTGATGATGATGAATATGTTCAGGCAAGAAAGAACTTAAAGGAGCCTAAGAAAAAAGTTCAAGATTGGGATGATGATGTAGACTATACACATCCAATGGCCACAGTTGAGATGGACTTTGAAGAGGATGAATTGTTACATAATGCACTAATCTCTGATGAGTCAGATAGTGAAAGGGAAATGGATTTGGAAGGGAATGTTGTTAAAAAGAGGACAAGGTTATTGTATGATCCCAAGTGTGATCATAATTCACTTGAGTTTCAGCTTGGCGTGAGGTTTGAAACCATTGATCAGTGCAAAAGAGCTGTGAGAAGGGTGGCAATTGTGCAAGGTAGAGATATTCAGAATATGAGGTGTAACAAAAGGCAATTGGAAGCTAGATGTCAAGATGGCTGTCCTTGGAGACTTTATGCCAGTGTGATTGAAAGAGAAGGTAGTGTGGCTATAAAAAAACTACATAAAGAGCATGTCTATCATAGGAATGTGCACACTAGACAACTCACTGCTCAGTGGATTGCTGAAGAGTTTGGTGAAAATTCAGAAGGAATCCAAACATGACAGTTGCACAATTGTAAGAAGCAATTTCTGAAAAGTTTGCTGTTGTACCTACAAAGTGGAAGCTTTATAGAGCAAAGTGGAAAGCACTTGAAATGCTGAGAGGTTCTGTCATAGAACATTACTCCTTTCTGAGAAGTTATATGGCTAAGTTGATGAGGGTGGATAGAGAGGGAAGGTTTGAGTTCTTACTTGGGAAAAATACCACATTAAGAGGCTTTTATGTGGGTTTTAGTGCTCTAAGAAAGGGATTCATCAATGGTTGCAGACGCATCCTTGGATTTGATGGATGTTTTTTGAAAACTTTCTTATGAGGAGCCTTTTTATGTGCCATTGCCAAAGATCGATGGTAACAATCAAATTTATCTAGTGGTTTGGGCTGTGGTTGAGGCTGAAAATGAAAAGTGTTGGAAGTGGTTTCTCTCAATTTTGTTTGCAGAATTGGGTATAAGGGATGGCTTAGGATATACTTTCATTTCAGACCAACAAAAGGTTAATATTCTATGCAATTTTGAGTTTTTGTTCTTAATTTCAAACATTAGCATGTTCTAAATAATTTCTTGTTTGTAGGGTTTGTTGAATGCTCTGAGGGACTTGGCCCCAAATGCTGAGCACAGAAATTGTGCTCGACATGTCTACATGAACTGGAAGAAGCAAGTCAAGGGGCAAACTTTGAAAAATTTGTTCTGGAGAATTGTTCTAAGCACTCACCTTGGAGACTACAACATTGGAGGACTTGAAGGCAGAATGCAAAGAAGCTTATGAAGAATTTAAGATCGATCAAAATCATCAGAAGAGTCATCAATATCAGTGAAGAAAGATCCATCAAAGTTTTGTAAGGCTTTTGTCTCTTCTCTTCCTAGGTGTGATATGATAGAAAATATTGTTAGTGAGACTTTCAATGGGTTTATAGTTAAGGGAAGAGGAAGCCACATCATTGAGATGCTTGAATTTGTAAGGACTGAACTAATGAATAGACAACATGGGAAATTGATGGAGTTGAGTGGACATCCTGACAAGCTTTGTCCTAGAATAAGGTCAAAGGTAGAACAAAACAAATATTTGTCAAGAGTGTGTGTCACAAAGCCTGCAGTTGGTGATAGGTTTCAGGTAGCTTTAGAAGATGATCAGTTTGTGGTGGATTTGAGGAATAATACCTGTACTTGTAGACAATGGGATATAACAGGGACACCTTGTGTGCATGCTTGCTCAGCAATACACTTTCAGCATATAGATCCTGCAGACTTTGTGTCTGAGTATTTCTATACTGAGAGGTACTTGAGTATGTATAGCATCTCATTGGAGCCCGTAAATGGAAAAAAAATGTGGCCAGCTGCAGAAGGTTATCCAATCTTACCCCCTCCTTTCAAGAAGATGCCTGGAAGACTAAAGAAAAAAAGAAGAAGGGCTCCTGAGGAAGAAGCTAGAAGTGTAGGCAAGTTGAGAAGGTTTGGGCTGATTATGACATGTCAAAGGTGTTTGCAAAAGGGGCATAATAAGAAATCATGCACCCTGCCTTTAGTTGAGAAACCTGTTAGGGTTTAAATTTCCATTCATTCATAGTACTAAGTTTTTGTTATTTATTTCTTTACATTCTTTAATCATTATCATTTTCTTTGTACAGAAGCCAAAGGGAAGGCCCAGAAAGCATACTGCACCCCACACTGTGGTTTAAATTTCTATTCATTCATAGTACTAAGTTTTTGTTATTTATTTCTTTACATTCTTTAATCATGGTAATTTTCTTTGTATAGAACCCAAGAGGAAGGCCCAGACAGCATACTGCACCCGACACTGTGGTTCAACCACCCCAAACTGAGACCATGACAAGCCCACCATCTGAGACAATGACAAGCCCACCAGTTGAGAGGCTGACAAGACCACCAAGTTCAGAGGATGACAACCCGGTCTGTTGAGAAGATAAATAAACTGCCGGTTAGGAGGTGCAGTCAATGGTCATCAGTCATACAAAAAGAAAGAGCCTTGGTAGTACTTTTATATGGAAATTTTCTGAAATTAGTACCAATACTAGACAACTCAATTATTTTGTTCATTTGTTTGGCAGGCAAGGAAAGGTTTTGGTATCTTGCAATCTGAGGAAACTGGTAATGTTTACATGAAGGTATGGTTTTGTTTTATAAGAATTCACTATTTTTGAAATATAATATATTATATTTATTGACTAACATAAGGGGTAATTATTGTATAATATAATGCAGTTGTCATCTGCAAAAAAGATTCATGTGATTTCAAACACTGCTAGAGAAACAGGCCAAAACAGTGGCACAACCAGAGGGCAAAGCAGTGGGTCAACCACTGGTAGAGGAAGAGGATAGAGGAGTGGGTCTACCACTGCTAGAGGAAGAAGAAGAGGGCAAAGTAGTGGGTCTACCACTGCTAGAGGAAGAGGAAGAGAGAGAGGGAAAAATACAGGGGACTTCATATGCACTCAAGAGAGTGAGGCTGGAAATTAAGATGTAGTATTGTTGAACTGATGTGATACCATTAAACTAATTTTGCTGTTTTGGGGTGTGTTGGTTTTGTGTGTGGAGACTCAGTAGTTTGAACTGATCTTTTGGATGTGTTTTTGAGTTATGTGGGATCTGGATGTGTTATGGGATATTTATGTGTGTTGTTATGTGAAAATCACTTAAATGAAGTGTTTTGTTCTTTGAATGTGCTCTGTTTATTGGAAAGGAAGTGTTCTTTGGAATTCATGTTATTTTATTGTGGGGTTTAGAATGTCTTCATGTGATATTGTGCCATGTCAATTCTTGTAACATAAATATGCATAGGCTTTCAATTCTTGTAATAATAATATGCACAATAAGAAAAATAAGATAATTCTTGTAATAATAATACATTCATGCAAAAGGATTCAATTCCATTGCATATATCAACCAAACATAATTCTACCAAAACACAATCACAACAAGAACCATAACAACAACAATCACAATCACAACAAGAACATAGCCATTTTGGGGAAAAACACATCAGCTCATCTTCAGCTAATGGACATTAGCCATTTCTACCAAACACCATCACAGCAACCATCACAACAACAATCAAACAAATCATAACTACATACATTTTCCTTTCAAGTTTTTTCACTTGAGTTAAGGTCTTCTCAAGAACCAAAAGTACTTCAGCATTCCTGTGACCATCAACCTCAAGCCCTGTCACTTTATTTTCAAGCTCCTCAAGTGAAGACAAGCTTACTTCTTTCACACCCGACCTATCATTGTGTTGTTTTTCCATGGACCGTAACTTTTCTTCTAAAGCCTTTTTTTGAGCCTTCAATCTGATGAAGCATGTCTTTTGGAACTCAGGCAAAGCGGGATCAATCCAATCAAACAAACCACAATCTTTTACCTGTTGCATATCAATTAGAGAAAAAACCATATTATTATCCACCCATTCTGTACAAAATTGCTGTAAAATTGTAGAACAAAATACAATAATAAATTACCTTTCTATTTGGACACCTGTAGAACCTCCGACATGGATTGTCGTCAGTGCCAGAGGTGAAAACATCGGCCTCATCCAAAAAGCCGCACAGCCTCGGCACGGGAATATTGGATGAAGCGCTATGTTGCAAATTAGGGCTTGTACGAGACGCGTACGACATTTTTCAGAGGATGAAGCTGCGAAATTAGGGCAACAATTTAGTGAAGAACACGGATCGAAGCTGCGAAATCGTGAAGAACACGATCGAAAATTAGGGTTCAATGGATGTTGATACTTGTACGACTAAATTGGGATGAAGCTATTGGATTTTGGGGAAGAACACGATATGGTGATGAAGCTGCTGGATTTTGGGAAAAAATCTTCAAAAGTAGGGTTTCATTTTGGGGAAGAACATGAGGTCGAGTTTGATTTGGGGGAAAATGCGTGTATTTATACTGGTTTTTACTGGTTTCACCACGTCAGCAGCACGTTTGGCCACGTAGGTAAAGCTAACGGACACGGTGCAAAAATGAGACGGCCGTTTCATTTTGGGTTCGGGTTGCAAACATTGGAGAAGGTTAGGTTATTCGTGCTAAATTCCAAACGTTTGGTTAAAATGGCAAAACGTTGTAAGGTCGTGCTTTTTCCGGCAATTAGGCCTTTTTTTAAATGTCATTTTGACTTTATCAACAATTAACTAAATAAATAACGCTTTGTATCTTTTGTACATATTTTTTCATTTTCACCCTCATGTAGCTAATAAATACACTACGTCTTTTCATATTCACTCTTCATCTTTTCTCAAAACATTCATCTCTATCTTTACTAACGAGGGTTATTATTGAAAAAAAAAATTCTTAATTATTGTGTAACTTCTCAAAACGACAATTATTAAAAATAGGAAGGAATATACTTAAAAGTAAGTATGAACATTCGAGACCCATGTTTGTGAAGTTTAGAATTAGTGGGGATTTTTCATAATGCGAGTAGAATGAAGTTGAGAAGATTATTGAATACACCTTTATGAGTATTGGGATATATATTAGTAACTGCGCAGAAAAGGCATCACTCTGAATTCAAAAGACATTGAAATTAAGGTAGTGTTGGGCTGGGGGTTTTTGGAGGGGAAGGGAGAGAAAATTTTGTGTTTCAATTATTTGGTTCAATTTTTAAAGGGAAAAGGGAAGGAAAATTTGGGATTAAAGTCCCTCCAAATAGTAAAAATGACTCCCCTCCAAAATTGGGAGGATTTGGAGGGAAAGAAAAATGTGAAGAAATGAATTTACTTTTTTTAATATTAAGATTATTTTATCGGTTAATTCCTCTAAAATTTTCAATCCTCAATTCAATTTCCTTGTCAGTCCCTGCTACATTTGTTTTCCCTCTAAACTCCCTAATACATTTGTATCTTTCCTCTCAACTCCCTATATAAATACTAATACTATTATTATTCATTTATTTTACTTAAAAATCATAAAAAATTAAAAAACNCTCTCTCTGCAAATCCATCGTCGTTCGTCTCTCATCTATACTATCTCTCCAGATCTGAAAAAAAAAAATGAATCCGGAGCTCCAAATGATCCATCCATGGAGAAGCACCTACAGATACTCATCAACAGGGCTCTCCTTTGGAGTTTTGATTTCTTCTTATTTTATTACTTGATATATATTATAATATATTTGAGTTTTTCTTTCTTCATCCTTCTGCAAATGTTCCCTCTTCTTTTATTCCCATTTGGTCTGTGTATATGACTATATATCTGTGTAATCGAATTCAATATTCTTCCCTTTTTTTTTCTAATTTCCCTTTATATCTGATAGTTGAAAGGTTTATTTTTTTTCCCCTTTTCTTTCAACCCTCGGGTCGACGTGCCTTAAAGGTTGAACCTTTAATCCGATTGAACCGAGGGTTTCTGTTTCTTTCTTCATTTTTTGTTTAAAAAATTTATTTTCTTCACTTGGGGATTTTGTTTCTCCTTTTGATTTCTTATTATGTTGTCTAATAAATAATAATGGTTGTGTTTGCCGCTTTTCTTGAGATTTTGCGAAGGCTCGCAACTGGAGATGTGTTTTTTGAGCTGCNGCCCAAATGGGCTGATAATATGAACTCGGATTTTCTGGATTATACTTCGAATAAAGTAATGTCAAAGAAATCAATTTACACTTTTCCCCAGTTTTCTGCTTTAGTCCTGAGCTTGAGCTTGTCAATACTGCAATTGCCAGCTTGGAGCTTATCTTGGATTTCAGATGATGGGATCAAAAAAGATAATTCACCCTCCCTTCAATTTCTGATATAGTCCGAGGCGGAAAATGAGAAATCGAGCCTTGTGAATGATTTGAGGCGTTTGAGCTATCAGGCTTAGAGAAAGGATCTTGAGACTGGACCTCCTCGGTATAGGAGTCAGCTGTGTACGAAGATACCACACTTGAAATGATGAGGGATTTTTTTTGGGACGATGAATTTAGATTAAAATGGGACGATATGATGATACATGCCGAGACCTTAAAGGAGTGCCCCTAGACTGGAACAATGATGGTTCAATGGGTGCGGAACCATTTCCTTTGAGGTAGCCTTTGCGGATGAGTTCTACCCAATCCCATTTATAAATGTCTTTGTGCACCAAAGCCTTTGAGGTAGCCTTTGGGGATGAGTCCATACAGAATTTTTATATTTGACCTCATGTCCTTCTCATTTCAAGAGTTTATGGAAGTTTGTGACATATAGTCTATCCCATATTGGTATATTCTTGTGTAGAGCTGTAAACGAATCGAACGTTCGCGAACAAAAGCTCGTTCGTTTGTTAATTAAGCCGAGTTCGAACAAAAGATTAGGCTCGTTTAATAATCGAACGAACACGAGCTCGTTCGTGAACATTAATTTAATATTTTTTTTTTATTTTTTATGTATTTACATAATATTTTTAAGAACAAATTTCGAGTTAATCACACATATTTAAAAATTTTATGTATTAAATTATTCAAACAAGAACGAACTTGAACTTTGACGAACAATTAAACAAACGAGCTCGAACACGATATTTTGCTTGAAAAATAAACGAACGAACACGAACAGTATTCGAACGTAAACGAACACGAGCTCGTACAGTCCAAGTTCGGTTCGGTTCGTTTACAGCACTATTCTTATGGAAGAGTAATATAAAGAGTAAAGTGGCTTATGAGGACTAGGTCAGTATTCCATAGTATAACTAGTACAACGCCCTTTGAACTACATGAGTGTTTCATAAAACACTAATTGGCCAACAAAAAGAGAAAAAATGAAAAAAATTAAAATTCTTTTTGCGAAATGAAAAATTATAAATAATTAATAAGAAAGTATTTTTTTATATTATGTCAAACTCTAGAAAATATTATTATGAAGTATTATTTTTTTTATTTAATATATTCATTTTTGTCAGAATAAATATAATAATTAATTTATTCGGTAGTTAATATAACG